AGGGTAGTGTCGCAGCGCAATGGCAGTCAGTCTTTCTGGACGCTAGCCAAGCAGATTGAAAAGAACTTCTCACACAGTAGCCTTCCACCACTTACGTGTCAGGATGGAACTATTGTATTTGACTCAAAGGCCAAGGCGGAAGTGATAGCCAAGATCTTTGCTGTCAACTCCACCATGGACGTCCCCCCAACGCCCAAGTGCCGTCAATTCAAAGGGTTTCCTACACTATGCGGGAGGTAACATTCAGGCATAAAGCTTCTGGTCCGGAGTTGATTCCTGCCATTGTAATGAAGAGGTGTGCATCTTATGAATCCGGCACCTTCCCAGAAAACTGGAAATTTGCTCATGTCCAACCCATCCCAAAAAAAGGATCTAAGGACCCTTACAACTACAGGCCTATAGCTCTGCCTTTTGTTATAAGTAAGGTGATGGAGAGGTGCATAAATCGCGAGCTTCTGGACTACCTCAAACGTCACAGGTTGATTAGCGACAGGCAGTATGGTTTCCAGCACCAACGATCCACAGGGGACCTCCTAGCTTACGTCACGCAATTGTGGAGTAAACTCATCCAGTCTTATGGTGAGGCTCATGTCGCTGCTCTTGACATCTCGAAAGTGTTCGATCAGCTGTGGCACGCTACCCTCTTAAGCAAACTTCCATCCTATGGCCTCCCAGAAAAGCTTTGCAGATGGGTGGCTGACTTTATCTCTGGCCGCAAGATATCCGTCGTAATTGACGGGTTCTCCTCTTCATCCCACAACGTCAACGCGGGTGTTCCCCAGGGATCGGTCTTGGCTCCGACACTGTTTCTCTTACATATCAACAACCTCCTTTCCTGCACGATCAACCAAATCCACAGCTTCGCTGATTGCAGGACTCTAGATGCAGGAATTCAGAGTGACAAGCCGATCTCTGCCGCTGAGCTGGAAAAAAGAAGACTAGCGACGACTTCCTCTCTGAAAAGAGACCTGGAGGCTATCACTGCTTGGGGACGTACCAATCTTATACAGTTCAATGCTTCCAAAACACAGTACTGTACTTTGACGAACAAAAAGCGTCCTAGCGCTCATCCGGTTTCGATGGATGGCCGAGTTCTGCCAAAAAGCAATTCATTTCGGCTGGTCGGAGTCCAGGTCACCGAGGACCTGATCTGGCACGAGTATATCTCCTCAATAGCTGCAACTGCTGGGAAAAAGCTATGCTATTTGTTTAGGGCTAAGAAGTACTTTTCTCCGCATGACCTTCTCACTCTATACAAGGCCCAGATAAGGCCTAGCCTCGAGTATTGCTCACACGTTTGGGGTGCTGCCGCCCCGACTACATTATCCATGCTCGATGCTGTCCAGAGGAGGGCGGTCCGACTGATCGACACAACAACGGGCTTTGCACCTCAGAGCTCTCTTCCATGATGCCGCCGCGCTATGTGCCTGCCAGACAGACCCGTCTAACTTTGGCGTCCCATCCTAACCGTGTCGAAATTCGTACATCCAGAACTGGCCGATACGATCGCTCCTTTGTCCCTAGGATATCGAGATTGTGGAATAGTCTAGTAGCGGTGCCCTGCGCTAAGGCTTCGGTGTAAAAATATGAGGTTGGATTCGGCTAGACAAAAGTGATTATCTGCATGAAAATCAGGATAAGTTTCAGATGTTACACATCAGGAGCACGAGCACGTGAAAACGCCGTCACAAACTGGTCATCAGATCAAAAATTCTAGAACCCCTCATGCTTGAGATTTATTGATGCAGCTTCTAAAACTGATCTTGCGGATGTCTCGCAGATTTCTTTCCATGTTCCATGTGGAAAGAAAAATCTTACTGCATTTCGCCCACCTCGGTGAAAAAGACCACCACCGAAACGACAACCAGTTTTTCCTTAGACGTATATGGTTTCATTTAACAGCCAGTGAAACATAAATATGAATCTTCCATTTAGTGTCTTTTTGATTTTGTGTAGGTATGAAAAAACAAAATTTGCGATCCCATTTTTCATATTTCAAATGCAAATCTACCAATATGCGTAAGCGATATTATCCGGTAAACAACGTCCGACGATTCTTTATTAATTTGTTGTTACGAATATTAAAACATATTGCCCCATATTTTGAAAATCAGAGCGGAAGCGATTTCTGTTTGTGGATATTTCATCGATGTTTCTCAATCGGTTTTTCCAAATTCACATTATTTAAAATATGAATACAAATAACCATACTAGTTTCATTTAAAACAAAGTTTATTTTAAGACGATTGTAATAAAATTACCACACTTTTGAGGTAGATTCCATTTCTACCATCGGACGTACTTTGCTTTGAAGCAATTTGAGAATCCCACATATGTTATATTTATTTTCCTGACTAGATCGGTTATAAAAATTTTTTTGCATTATAACAGCGAGATACATAGAGTTGAAGATATGTTATCTGAAAACAATGTTTCGAAGACTCTCTGAATAAGCCAAATAACTAGTTCCAAATACCTCAGTATCTAATATCGAAGAATAGACGGAGATATTTTAGAGGGTGAAAATATCGAAAAAACATGGGTCCGGAAATGCATGCATGAGTTTTCAAGGTACTGGGTGATAATTTTTATTTAACTTTTTAGAGAAATTTCGCAAATAAAATTACAGAAATCATTTTTTTTGAAAAAATTAACAAGTCAGTTTTGTGTAGTGACATGCAATTAAACGATTATAATTTTTTTTTCTCGAAAACGAAGTGAGATACGAAAAAAATACAAGCGGCAAAGAAGTTATATTTTTATATGCTTAATCAAACAACTGTATCTTGAGAACCCATGCTTATATAAACCTTTTTTCATATTTTTAACAAAGGAATCACCCTCTAAAATATGTCTATCTTTCGAACACCCTGTATACTATGGGACATATAAAATGCAACACCCAGAATTATTTATTGGATTTTGATAGAAACTTCGTCCTGAGTAAATCTGCCCCAGTGGCCTCCTCGATCTCCAGACCTTTCCCCCATCGAACATGTATGGGATATGGTTGAAACAAGGTCGCAAAATTCACCTCACCCTCCACAAACATTGAAGGCTCTACGAAACCAAATTCTATGTCATTCAGCATATATTGACGTTAAGACTACAGAGACAATTTTTCTATCATGTAAAAAATAGTCTTTTCATTTTACTTTCTGAGGCCTGAAAGGGGGGCGGCTGTCCCCCTTGCCTTTCCTGAATACGTTCATGTGGGACAAAAAGTAAAAATTTATCAACATTCATGTCGAGTACTTCCAAGACTAGATGGGTTTTCTCAGTTTGCGGCAACGCTTTAACGGGCCCTCAAATTGGATAAAATCAAGAGCTATTTCACATAGGCTGAGGGTCGAACATGATTAAATTCATCAATAATCCAGAATGCAGGATTCGAAATGCGAGATACCAAAGCCTTGCCGCCTACATACATACCGGGTGTATAGTTAGTAGTGGATTAACGAAGTCAGGTGATAGAGGACCTTAAAACATATCGACTGAACCCCTATATGTGTGGTCCGAAATTTTATAGTTATATTTGGGTGCCCCCATGGCGGTGTCAGGGGAATCGTGGTAACAGTTATCTCTTGATGATGATCAGCACCACTGAGAAAAATTCCTGTGGGTACCCGTGGACAATAATATTATTGTTCTAATAAAAAAAAAGAAATATGTGAATTGTAGTAATATATCAACACAATTCAATTTTGGACCATAATAATGTTAATACTGATATGTTTGTAGAAAAATGTATGAGATTCGTATAATAAATATATACATATTTAGGTATTTGCAGTTTACGTTTTTCTTCTGAACCTTTCCAGATTAGTAAGTAGATATGAGTTATCTTATAACAGCTTGTGTTATTGACATGCTATTTTAACATACAAAAAAAATTTATTGTTCAAGATGGCGCAAAATGTTAATAATATATGCTGTAATAAGATCTCCCATATCCCACCAAATTCATATATATAAAAGTATAATAATTTTAGATTTATATGTAGAGCTGGCAACGTTGCGGGATATTAATGCACAATCTGGCAACCATGTCGCACCCTCAAAAAATGGCCGCTGACAACCACACAAGTCACCGTGTTGTCATTGAATAGCATGGAATTAAACCTTCTTCAGTGTATATCTTTTGTGACTTAGACAACCTTTCCTGGGCGTGGGATAGGTAGAGTTGGACACATACGATGGCCTCCAAGGTCACCCGATTTAAATCCTCTAGATGTTTTATATGGAGGTTTAATAAGGGGATAATCTATACATCTGAATATACAAGTGTCGACCAACTGCGCCAGAAAATTGATGAAGTAAAAAATAAAAATTATGGAAAACGCAAATTCATTTCAAATACTAAAGGACATTTTTTTGTATAGAAAATAATGTTGGCCATTCCGAACATGTTCTTCAAAAGTTAGTTAAATCAAATTGTCTTCCACATTTGTCGGTAAATCGCCATGAAGAGCGACGAAACACAACAGGTTCTGTACTTGTAGGTGGTAAGTATTCTGTTGCGTTTCTTACGTTTATCGCATCACAACAACGAATGTGACATGATACACTCATCGTAGCAACCTGAAATTTTCAGGGTTTATTCTAAATGGATTTAAATAGATTTTACAATAAAATGAATAATGAAATACTAACTCAATTTTTTGACCGCCCTCCACAATAGAGGGATGGAAGTAATGTTTCACAAAAAAATGAATTTAATATTTTTTGCGTTTATTTCTAATAGGCTCTGTTAAAAAGTGACATAACCATTGCTAAAACGAACCATTTAACTCATCTCAGAAAAGAGTCACAGCCCTAAACCTTCAGTTGCAAATATCTCCTGAACTACTACTACTAAAATTTCGCACCACCCATATAGGTGTTCATTCGATAGGTTTTGAGGTCGTCTATCACCTGACCTCCGTTGATCCACTACTAACTTTACACTCTGTACCTATAGTCACAGCTATAGTATAGGACTGACTATAGGTTTATACCCCCTACCTTCTCATGCGAAATGTTTGACAGCAGGTAGGGTCTTCCTCGTCCTCGTCCTCCTCCTCGTCCTCCTCGTCCTTCTCCTCGTCCTCCTCGTCCTCCTCGTCCTCCTCGTCCTCTTCAGGCTCCTCAGGAACTTCGGGCACTGTAGGAAGTACATCAGGCTCTTCAGGAGGAGATGGATCATCTGGAATACCTGTATATAAGGATGATACCGTGGGGATATGTGGAAAGGGCTTCGTCCTGATTACGTCTTCTAAATTTACCACCTTCTTCCGAGATTTCTTTATTGGGGCCCTCATGTTCACTCTGCAAAAATGTCAAGTAGATTTAACTGACGCACCGGTATAGCTTAGAATACCACGGTCTAGGAAATTCCCATCGTATGTTGTCTTTAAATCCTGCTAATTATACAAGGTAAAACAAAATAGATAATATGGTTTGAATTGTTCATAACGTTTTCCAAAATTTACTTTTTTTAGGATCTAGTAGAGCAGATTGATGGATGGAATTATCGAACGTTTAGATTGAGAGTTTCAGAAGTCTAGTTTCCATTCATCGGAATCCAGCAATGGTGCTGTAATGAGAGCTGTCAAAAACTATCCAAACCTGTAGTTTCAACGGAATTAAACTACTCACTTTAACCGATTTTTTAGCGGCTCTGTTATCAAATTTTTGAGAACTACATTATAATATCTTTTGTTTTTTTTAACACGCTTAGGCCTGTATGTATGCATGTAAGGGAATCTTTGAGCATAATTTTCACCATTTTCCAGAAGTTTGTTTAATTTGAAACTTCACACACGTATCAAGCACCCATGACAATGCAATAATTTGATAAAAGTTTTCCATTATCCTTTTAAGAAAAATTCTTCAAAAAGCAGATTGCTAATAAAAAGCCACGGAGTCTAAATGCCGCTTTACGAACATTAAAATCAGAAGTCTCTTTAGCCCAAGTGCTAAAGCACTGGACTCGTAAACAAGAGGTCGTGAGTTCAATCCTCACAAGAGGCAGATTTTGGTATACTTTTTTTTATATTTTAACACGCTTTTATCAGCTTGACCTGTATGTATGCATGTATGTATGTATGCTTGTATGTAGGTATGTATGAATATACAGGGTGGCCAAACACGTGACGTCATAAAAAAAAAATTAGATTCCCCACATCGAGAGGAACTCAAATCACCCCCATATATATGGTCCGATTTTGTTTAGTTTAGGAGTTATGATATTTTGTCGGATTTTTCGAGAATTTTTACCCAGACCACCGTGTTTTTATTAACACACATAACACTTTCATGGCAGGCCGCATTCCAGGACGAGGAAGCAATGAAGGATATCCTACAGCTGATCCGGATCGCAGAGAAGTAGTACTTGAAGAAATTAGCCGGAATCCCTCAACGAGTACGAGATCTATGGCACAAAACCTTAGAATACCACGAACATCGATACAAAATATTCTTCATGAAGAAGGTTATCATGCCTATCATGTTCAAAGAGTTCAAGCGTTGATGCCTTCAGATTACCAGTTAAGAGTGGATTTCTGCGAGACAATGCTGCGAAGACAACGAGAGGATCCCGATATTTTTGATAAAATTTTATGGACTGACGAGTCACGTTTTGAAAGAACAGGGATATTCAATATCCATAATTTACATACTTGGGCTGTTGAAAACCCCCACCACTCAAGGCCGTCGACATTTCAACACCGTTTTAGTGTGAACATGTGGTCAGGAATATTCAATATGGAATTTATCGGTCCATTTGAACTGCCGTCAAGGTTGGATTCGGTAGCCTACAAAAGCTTCCTTGAAAATAGCCTACCATTATTGCTGGAAGATTCAAGCCTGGAAGCCAGACGGAACATGGTGTTCCAGAATGATGGTGCACCATGCCACAACGCAACGATCGTGCGAAACTACTTAAACGAAAGGTTCCCAGACAGATGGATCGGACGAAACGGACCGATACGATGGCCTCCACGCTCCCCTGACCTCAACCCCATTAATTTTTTTGTTTGGGGATATTTTAAAGACATAACATTCGCCCAAGAATGTGCAAATGAAAATTCATTGAGGAACAAAATTCAAGAAGCGACACATGTGTTGAAAAACAACACACAAGCATTTAGAGATTTAAAACAAAATTTCATACGTAGGTGTACACTGTGCATTTCTGTTAGAGGCAGACATTTTGAAAACCTCTTGTAAATAACATAAATGAATAATAATCTGCTGTTCAGTAAAAATCAAACGTGTTTTTGTGGTTTTTGCAAATTTTTTTTCCGAAACTAACAATTTCTATTGAGCAGAGGGTTATCCAATTTTGGGTTCGGTTCTATTTGAGCCACAATTACGGTAGCATGTAGTAAAGCTAGGTTGATGAAATTTTTACGGTAAATAGCTGATACCGTAAGGAAGTTTTTAAGATACTTACGAATAGTAAGAACATGTTTTTTCAATTTTTTATAAACGTTCAAAGTTGTTGCACTTTTTTACTTTTTTGTTATGTTCGAAGATTTTGAAAAAAATTAAAAAGTAGTATTAGTTACATGACTTGAATGATTATATGATAGTTAAGCCTTAGGTCTTAGCTACATAATCGTGAAAAAAGCTGGCATTTATCACAATTATTAACGAAGTTATGGTAAAAATAAACACAGAACTCAAAAATTCTCGAAAAATCCGAAAAAAAATCATAACTCCTAAACTAAACAAAATCGGACCATATATATGGGGGTGATTTGGGTTCCTCTCGATGTGGGGAATCTATTTTTTTTTTTATGACGTCACGTGTTTGGCCACCCTGTATATACAGGGTGACTTCGAAGTTGAGTCATTTATTTTAACAGTGAGTAGATCTGATCAAAAGAAATGTTTTTTCCTTTACCATTTTTCTGGTAAAATTAAAGTAACAAAGTTATAGCCCTTTGGAAGTTTGAGTACCGCCCTGTCTCAATGTGCTCGTGTTTGGCGACAACGGATATAATCCGCCGTATCGGTTCATCGCATCGGAAACAAAAAAGCGAAAGAATTTGGAACGAATTATTTCATTCATTTGTATACAGTCAGTGTCAGTGAATAGTTGTATCTGTTGCGTGGCTCAAACGAAATAAAAAATGGCACATGTTTATGCGGATCGGTTTCCCAATCTAGTGCAACCAACCCCTCGTGCCTTTGTTAATGTAGTACAACGGGCTCGTGAATCAGGTGACTTAAGACGATCAAATACAGGTCCGCACTGAAATACTTGTCGGGAGGATACTTTATAAAACAAGGTAAACATTTTTTTTTAATTTTTTTTTTTATTTTTACACACATATTTTGGTTTATCTTCCTTCTACAATCATTATCTGAAAATTAATGACTCAACTTCAAAGTCACCCTGTATATATATATATATATATACAGGGTGCCCGAAAAAAGTGTTCAATATTCTACCAGCGGTTCCTAGAGCTTAAAATAGGAAGAAAAGTTTATATAAACATAGGTCGACAAATGTCCCCTAAGGGCCCCTAAAGGCTCTCCTGAAGATGGTTTTTCCTTAATATTTTAGACAGTTTTGTTTGGAAGCGTATGTAACAGGGACGAACTCAGGTTATTTTAGCCCCAAAATTTTTGTGTAATTCTATTTTTTAAATTCAATTTTAGAATTTGAAAATTTAGGGTTTTCTACATAAAAAAGGTACTCTTATTGAATATCGATAAATTGTGCCACTTTTGAATAAAATCAAACTAAAAAATTTGTCACATGATAGGGAATGTACTGCGAATTCAAATGAATTGTTGATTATACATAGTTAGCCATGACTGCAAACAAAAGTTGTTTTGATTTGTTATGACTTATTTTGACGTTAAGCTGACATTGTTAGCAGTGTAAGATTACTAGATTAAAATAAAAATTTTTATTAAATCGATTTAAAATGCCAAGATTTACAGACATAGAACTGACTGACATGCATTTTGTGTACAGGTTTTGCAATGGCAGTTCATTGGCAGCCGTAAGAGAATATCAAAGAAGATTTCCCATAGTACCTGGACGTCGAACGTTTACTGATATTCATCGGAATTTGTCAAACCATGGAAGTTTTCAGCGCATGCAGGACTCAGGAAGGCCACTGGGAAACCATCGTATGGATATTGCTTTAAATATGTTTGAAAATAATCCGCAAATAAGCATACGAAATGTTTCAGAAATTATGGATAAACCTCGATCAATAGAAAAATTTATGAATACCTATTTGACAGTTATCCTAAAAATAATAATTTTAGATAGTAAGAATGACAAGAATGCAAGGTTTACATCCTTATCATTTTAAACGGAGGCAGATTTTTTACCACGAACCAGTGAATATTAGCAAACGAAAACACTATTCCTAGAATATTATGGTCGGATGAGTCAATATTTACTAGGAATGGTGCATTAATTTCTGTAACATGCATCACTCGTCAGATGAAAATCCAAAAGTTGACCGCCGTACAAATTCCAACATAGATTTTCGTTGAACTTATGGGCAGGAGTAATTGGGGATCAAGTAATTGGGAAGTATCCCAATCGTCTTAATTCAGAGGTGTAGCTGAACTTTCTTCAGAATGAGCTCATGGATATAATACCATTGGATGTGCACCAGCAGTTTCAAGAAAATATGTTTTTTCAACATGATGGCGCCCCTGCACATTTTGGACGCAATGTTCGAAATTGGTTGAATGTCAATCTTCCAGACAGGTGGTTAGGCCGAGGAGATCCTATAGCATGGCCGCCACGTTCATCTGACCTAAATCCATTGGATTTCCATTTTTAGGGGTCATTAAAAGACCTAGTTTACTCGACTGAAGTAAATACTCAAGAAGATTTACTTCAAACAATCCATCAGGCTGCAAATGAAATAAAAAGAAAAAGGTTTTCCACTTTTCGGGCTACGCAATCATTAGTTCGTCGAACAAAATGGGAATTTATTTGAACACTTATTGTAAAGCTAGTTTTAAGTATATCCAACTGTATATCTTCTCTTTTAAACAAATTTCAATTTCGTTCGTAGAAAAAAATTATTTCTTTTGTTTTTGCATAAATGTTAGCTATGTTGCAATAGAAATATGTATTCATGTAATATTTACCTATTATTAAATTAGTTTTTTTCATTCTCAAGGCTAATTATTCAACAATTCATTTAAATTCGAAGTACATTTCCTATCATGTGACATTTTTTTAGTTTGAGTTTATTCAAAAATGGCACAATTTATCGATATTCAATAAGACTACCTTTTTATTTAGAAAACCCTATATTTGCAAATTCTAAAATTGAATTTCA